CCTTATCAAAATATATCTTAGCCATACGAATCCATTGAAACAGCGCCGAGATCAAGAGTCTTGAAAAAGCAGGTAGAAAAGCGCTTTTTGAACTTCAACAGCTCATAACTTCTTCAGAACTGCATGATTCATGTTGCGACTCCATAAGTTAGATTCTCCTCATCAAGACCTTTCAGAAGGTATATAATATGTGGGGGTTTAGAGCCTCCTACGATTTATGCTTGTGGGGGGAGCCTTTTCATAGCAAGGTCTCCCCCCAGACCATTTTAATGTATTGGAGGGAGGCCACCACGGGAGACTTTGTGATGAAAAGTCTCCCTCCACCCCCCCCCCAGGGCATAATTCGTAGGAGGCCAAGATTTGTATGAGTTTAACTGTCAGCTGTCAAAAAACACGCAAAAATGGCGTAAATTTTTAGATATCTGGTTTTCGACGACTATCTCTCAAATCGACTCGATTCCTTCACTATCTGATAGAGCACCATTTACTCTTCAGAACCTATAAAGTCACATCTGCGGACATCTTCAAACAACAGATTTATAACAGTGAAATCACATGATTTTTCACTATTTAATATTCAAAATTCTGGTTCTCGGCCGTTACTGCCTGGATCGATCTGCTTTCTTCGCTGTACATTATAACAAAATTCAATTAATAAAATACGTACAGTTCCGGTAAGTTTCAATTCCAAATACACTATTTGTTAAGCACGTTTATTTAGATACTAGTTGGCAAACCCGGCTCCGCCCGGCCCTGTCAATAACATATTTGTAATCAGCATGCTCGATTACCCCCCTGTGCCAACTCCCAGCCCCGTAGCTCAAATTTTGCAAAAAATCGATAAAATCGATATCGATCGATAACGAAAAGTAGTCTATGACACGCTCCCTGCCCCGAAGTATATGTGTGCCAAGTTTGGTCCCGATCGGTTCAGAAATAAAAATTTCTATTCCGCACATACGTACAGACATACATACATACATACAGACAGACAGACAGACATTCAGCTTTATATATAAGATTTATGAAGCCGTATACAAAAAAATATGCTTTCAATGATCCCTTTTGCATTTGTTTTGCTTATTTTCCGCGCACTGGCGGCAGCGACCTGGAAGGATAGACGTTAATGCTTTGCTCCCCCCCCCCCTCCCCCCCCCCCCCGGTCGACGTTTTTGGGAGGTGAGTGTCCGGAAGAACTACCACCTTCACTTTTGGCCGGCCAGTGGTAGCTGGGACCACCTTCACTTTTGGTGGGCCCGGCTCCCCCCATCGCACCTCTGATTGCTGCGCGCACTTCAGCAGGTAGAATTCGTGGTGGTATTTCTTGAGTGGGAACAACGGGCATCGGCACGGGTGTTGATGAGCGGAAGAGGTTGGTGTAGAAGTTCTTTGCGATAGATTCCATCTTGTATCGGAAATAATTCGGAGTCCCGTCTTCGTTCGATAGTGCAGCCAGCGGTACGTGATATTCGCACAGGTCCCCTCAGCACTTCTTGAGACAGGTTCCTTCGGCACTTCGGCTGCTTCCAGTATCTTGGCTTGCCTGTACTTCCTGAGATCCTCCTGCAAGCTGTTCTGCAACTGGCGTTGGCTATCAGTCGCTGGAGATGGATTACATTCGGATCCTGCCTCAGAAACCTCACTGAGGCGCACTCTCCGCAGGCTCGCAATCCTTCCAGAGGCCGGTCGTAGTCGTACTTTGGGTCCTCCTCGATGGGCCAGTCACAGCTTGATGTGAGCTCTTCCAGCCTGTTACCGTCATAAATTACATTCTTCCTTCTTGCGGTACTGTGGCAGACCTTCTTTTCCAACCACTGGATCGTACCTTCGCTCGGAGGCGATGATTGATGATTGCGGAGGCGCAGAAGGATGGAACTATAGAGACATGGAGCAAGCTCCACCTTCGGTTGGTGAGAATGTGGTCGATCATCATTGGGGGATTCCCATGTCCACCGGCGATGTTCCTTCTTCATGAAGATGGAATTTCCATGGAGGAGTCGTGCGGCGAAGAGAAGCCCAACAAGACGGTTGCCGTTTTCGTTCCGGAGCCCATATCCAACCTTCCCGATCCTACATTCCTTTTCTAGTGGCATCCCGATCTTCGCGTTGAAGTCGCCCACAACGAACTTGTAGAAGGACTTCTCTTTGCGGACGACCTACTGTCTTCGTAAAAAAGCAGTTAGTTCTGAATCGTCAGCCGCTGATGTTGGTAAACAGCAGTTGATGATGCTGATGGTCTTCTGACGTGAAGTTCTTAGTCGTAGGATGGCTAGTCGAGGTGAGAGGATCTCATGCGAATTGACAAGATGGACGATAGATGGGTGGACAAAGCCAACGTCTTCAACGTTTCGTGATTTTCACCACAAATGATGAGGGTCGCATGACTCATCTATCGCGCGTCCTTCTTCCTAGACTTCGTTTCCTGCAGAGCGATGATACTTGATGTGCTCTGCAGCGTCGAGAAAAGCGTGGAGGTCGGCGTTTGTGGAAACTGTCCTGGCGTTGTAGGTGCAGAGCATAAGGCAGTCTCCATGGCGTGAACGAATGGCAGAATGGTTGGTGCTGCGGCGTTTGAATTTGAAGCATGCAGGTTCGAATGCGCGGCATGCCTCTTTTTTGCGGTGTCTGCGTCATCAAAATATCATGCACAGAGTGATTGCAAGGTTATATAAGCTAATTAGGAACAACGAAATCCGCGAGCTGCTGCCGGAGTTGGCAATTTCCTGTACTAACTTGCCGGCATCTATGATGTCACCAGGTAGGGTCATATGGCCACGAAGTCATATGGTGGGCCTTACGGAAACACAGGGTGCCAGAGGAATACGTTCAGTGGATAAAGTTGATCTACCACAACGCGTCAAGCCATGTGCAAACAGCTGCAGGGCAATCGAAAGAATTCGAAATTAAGGTTGGAGTACACCAAGGTTCAGTTCTCTCTCCCTTGCTCTTCATCACTGTGATGAATGCCGTGATGGAACCGCTCAGACGTGAACCCCCTTGGACACTTCTCTACGCAGACGATGTGGTCTTGATAGCAAGTACCAGAAAGGAGCTACAAGACGAGGTGCAAAACTGGAAAAACAGGCTAGAGTTGTATGGCCTGAAGCTCAACACCAGAAAGACAGAACACATGGAAGCGGAAAAACACTCCAGTTACAACAAGCATCGATGGTGAAGAGCTTGAAAAGATAACGTCATACAAGTACAGTGCATGTTAATGAGATGCTCACAAGTCCGTAGCACTTACGCGTACGCATCGCAAGGCTGATGCGCTCCGTTCGCGTGCGTACGGCCTGGGCGTTTTGCCAACCCTCGATCGATGACGTCTGTGGGAGCGCGGGTTTTTGCATTTTTTAACCGCTTTAAATACTTTCGTGTTCTCTTTTCCTTTTTCGCTGTCTAAACATGCTTGATTGGTTCCTTTATCTCACAACTGAATGCGCACGATCTGAACTTCTTTTGTGTCGTTTTTGCTTCATTTATTCATTTACTTCAGTATAGTCTGAATAATGGTGAAAAATAGCAAAGGTGGCACTGCTTTGGAGGGCGTCATGGATTACGTATGGCCTGTCACTGAAAAAAATCTCCTGTCTGAAAAACCATACACTAAAATGAATTGAACTAACCAAGTAGTGCTAGTGATTGCTATTGAGACTATCTGTAAGTATAACTTTTGAAAAGAACCCTACAAAATAAGCACGAGTTCACAAGAAGTCTCCGGCAACACATCGATTTTACTAATGAAAAGCTGACTTAGAGATCCATCCAAAAAAGTTAATTTCACGAGAAAAAAAAGGCATTGAGTATTTGCTCCTTTTCATATTCAGTACCTGGTACAAATACGAAAAATTAGATATATACAATGTAGTGAGTAAAAAAACAATCATACAATATAAACATCACATTTCCAACATTAGTAATGCGCGAAGGACGACAAAAATACAAATAAGGAGGTGAAACATTCAAGAATGCGAATCGGGCGTCATATGGGCGCCATTGATCGAGAGTTGGCAAAATGCCCTGCCGTCCGCTCGCGCACGTGGCGCACGGGACTTGCGGCGCGTGCATGCAAATCGAGGACTGCACAAAAGGAAATCGGTTTTTGAAATCGCCTGTACCTAGGCAGTCACATCTCAGCGAAGGGAGACCTACAAGAGGAGATCGCAGACAGGAAGGATACAGCATGGATGAAATAGAGAGCTTTAACAGGAGTTCTGTGCGACAGAAAAATGCCAGTGCAGCTTAGGGTTGGGCCAGACTGCGCGGCGTACGCGACGTAAGCAGCGTACGCCGCGTATGCTCCTATGATGAAATATACCGAGCGTACGCTGCGTACGCCGCTTCCCCGCGAAGTCTGGCTCAACTCTTAAGTTCCAACACTACCGGACCGTTATCTGCTCAGCAGCCTGTATGGCAGTGAGTGTTGGCCGTGTACGGAGGACGAGGAGCGCACGCTCATTGTTATGGAAACATAGATGTTAAGATGGATCTTAGGGGTTACATTAAACGATCACATCTCAATGACACTTACGAGCGCAATTGAAAGTAGCTCTAATTGCCCAGATAATGCAGGAAAAGAGGTTACGTTGGTACGGGTATGTGCGCAAAAGGGATGCAATTTTCACAATGTTAGCTCTGGCTGTGGAGGCACCAAGCAAAAGACCCAGATGTAAGTTTAAGATAAGGTGGATGGACAGGATCAAGGCCGACGTGCGAGAACTTGATATAGAGAAGACTTGCCTCAGATAAGATGACACAAGAAAGACAACAAGAAAAACATACCTTGCATAAGCACGACACCAGCGAGCATAAAAAAATTTGTTGCGGATGTTGGGATCTATCTTGTAAGGCTTGCTGTGCTCTATCAAATTGTACTCCATTTACTGCATGATAGCAGATGATGCGACATTATTTTTGGGACGAGTTAATAGGTTCTTTAGATTAACCAGCGTCAGCTATTTTTTCGATAATCAGGAATTGCTTATGAATCAACAACCAACGTAGAACTTCCCTTCCCATGATACGCAGTAAAGGAGCACATCGCCATTTACGTACACGTGAGAAATATTGTTCATCGGCACATAATGCGCAAACTTGGCGACCAATCGATGTTCGACATAGATCTAAAAACTAATAATTACAATCTGGTACAATCTTTTAGATTGGGTTGGCGCAAAAGTCTGTCGGACCATTTTTGAAAGATCATAGCATCCTGCTCAATCGATTTGCACAGCTCGATTTTCTTAGCTAGAAAATAACATATTCTTTGTAAAAGTACCCTTGCTGCTCTCTACTAAGGAGTAGCTTTTGAGATCGAAGGAGAAGAATTAGATCATTTTAACTAAAGCATTAAAGTAAGTATTTTGATCCACTATTTTCAATTGCATACAGCTTGTGTCAGTTGAACAACTTTATGAAGGATGTGATTTTGGGATAAGTAATACAAAACAGCAAATTCGATTTCTTTGACTTTTTTTTGAAAATCACAATTCTTCTCAAAAATGCTCATAATATAGAATTCTGCACTGTTGGAAAAGGTAAATCAGAAAACATATTAGCAGCTTGTTTCTACTTATCGCAAGTTTTAGCGTTACAGCAGTCGCAATCTAACCTCAAATGAACAGAGCTGAAGTGGTTTTATTCTCTTGCTTTTAACTCAAAAGCTACTCCTTATTAGAAAACACGAAGATAATTAATAATATGATTTTTTCTAATTAGGGAAATTGAATTCGTGTAAATTCGGCAGATGAGCATAAACTTATGATTTTCAATGGTGCGAACAGAACTTTTTCACTAACCTAAATATTATATTAATGTACAGGGTGTCCGGAAATGAGTGCTAGAGCATTTAGCTGTCTCATTTTACAGATATTCCATCAATATGGTTACAATTCTTGTCGCCAAAATACAGTATCTATATTAAAATGCACAAAAATTGGACGAAAAGAACTCTCTGATGCTAAAATAACTACGGAGTCAGCTTTTACGCGCCACTCTATCGCAGTTAGTAACGATCGTGCACACAGATGTATTCAGTTTTAGAGAGTACAGAGAGATTATTGAGATTATTCACATCAGCGCACACTCCTTGAAGCGCTCTACAAAAACATCATGTGTTCGAATTACTCTTAACTAGATTGTCGATACGGCTACACCACTACCATAGCAATTCTTGACGCATTCGTTGTAAGGTAAGCAGCTGAGTCTCCAATTTTGACGAGCATGGTAACCTCATAGCACGGGTCGGCGCAGCTGGCACCAGGTCAAACTGGATATCGTTTTTGGGGCGGAAAGCAAAGGGGATATCGTTTTTGCGGGTTAGATGCCGCTGTTTGCTAGAATGCCAGGGGCATGCCACCGGCAAGTCGCCAGCAGCATGCCCCTAGGACAAACAAAAGCCTTTTTTACAACCAAATTGCAGTAATATGACACCAAATTTGGTGTGTGCATGGGGTTGGGGGAGTCGAACTATGGTCCAAAAATTTATGAAAACTCATGCTCACATAATTTTTCATACTTTTTTTACATAAATTGTATCTGCACTGTAAAAATTTACATACAGAAAGGAACGATTTTCTTAATGTTTTCTTTTCGGCGTTTTATAGCCATCTGAAAAGTTCTCGGTATGCTCCGCCGTCGAAAAATCTGCTCCAATCACAAAGCGCGCCCTAAGCAAATGCAAAATACGTCAAAGAGGACTTCGTAGGAAACTTTTGAGATCAAGGGGACTTCGTTTTAGAATTTCCCTGGTGCCAGCTCGTGCCGAACCCTGTCTCATAGAACTCCGTTTTGTAAGAAAAATTCCGTAAACGCACAATTTCCGGTCAGCCTGTGTTAAGAAAAGAAGCTTATAAAGGCGCTCACATGAAATTGGTCTTCGAAGCAACGAACTCTTATGTCAAATTCATCTTGAACATGGTAGCGTTGTTTGATTGCTCCTTCCCCAAAACAGAACTGTTAGCAAAAAAAACAGCAAAACCGTTTGTTTCACACAAAAACAGACGCCTAACTAACTTTCCCCATTCACCATCTACACAAGCGTTGAAGCATATCTTTCCTTTGCCTACATCGCAGCGAATCGAAAGTAAACGGTTGTCGAGTACCTATGTGGAAAACTTGAAAAGGTGAATCAATGAACAGAACACAGCAAACCAGACCTCTCCAGGCTCGTCTGCTTCCACGATTGGACCAGATGTGAGGTTTATCACAAATGAGTCATCTCCTAGAAGGTCAATTAAACTTTTATGGTGACCGGAAAGCAACAGGGGCAGCTTCTAATATTTGACAGAGTTAAATATCAGAAGCTGCCCCTTTTGCAGACAGACATGTTTGTGTTAAGTATGATCAACTTTTCTGCTTGTAGACCCACTTAACAAACCAAAGCATACTCGGCAAGAGTTCCCTATGTTGAAGTTCTACATGCACGTAAAGGAAAAATTGAATAGAAAAAAAAACAATCCGCTTCTTCAAAAACTGCGACCAAAGGGATGAGCTAAAAGAAACTTGATAATTATTCTTAACTTCGAGTGATGGAGAATACCTTAAAAATGAATGTGCAATGTAAGCAAGATCTAAATATCAAAGAAACCCTACCTAAAAATAAAGCTCGTTGCCATAAATTACTCTAAAAGACGGATCACTAAGACTGAAAGAAGGAAGATGAAAGACGAGGAGCAATGCTTTGAGGTTTCATGCTGAACGATAGATCTTTGAACGTAAAGGGCCCAGGCCCATAGCAGAGCAGGGTCAATTCAGGTAATTTGAAGTGACGGTCCCAAATGAATTTCGTAAGATGAACTTACGACTGCCCATTCCCCCAGGCTGTAAGAATGCAAATTGACCTGACAGATAAGCGTCCGGTCAGGGCCGCGGTTTTCTCACCTCACTTCTGTAAGTTACGTTTTGGATCTTATGATTTATTAAACAAGCGACGAAACCCAGGGAAAAATCCCGTAGGTTGCTCATGATTAACTGCACCTCATCTGACCTAACGCTGTGGTACAAGAGCGCGCGAAACGGCACAATTCTGCGGCATACGAGCAGAAACGATTGATAAAAAGGTGACTGCACTCACTGATGAAAAAAAGAGGATTTTTATAGCTTTTGCAGAGGTGCTAGATTTTTCTGAACCTAAGCCTGCGCTTGTGTCTTTCTTCGAGATCGCATGGGTAATTTTACCTTTTGTGCGTCCCCGTCACGATCAATGGCACGATTGATACTGAACTGAGGCCGTAGGTTTACCTTGGGCCCTCCTCAGATTACATGAACTGGCCGACTTCACCACGGGCCTATGCCAAACAAAAGCAAAAACATAATATAAGGACTTTCAATGGATTCATGCTTCAAGCCAACTAGGAGAGGCCCGTCTGATCGAATAAATTTGGCTTGGAGCATAATAAAGTAATGATTCTCCACATGAATTACCAAGGTTTCTCACGTAATAATGTTCACAGAAATTTTACCGTAATTCAACTTTGGCGTCATATGATCGACTGCACACTGCTAGAAGTTATCTGTTTATTTTAGCAGTACCTCCGGATTTCGCGTGCTTGTAAGAGAACACACAGCATGTTACTTAATGACTACTCGATGGTGGAGCAAGGGAGCATGTTTGCGTTCAAATCTCATCATCTTTAGCGATCCCCTTTGCTTTTTGCCCGCAGCAAAATCGATTCGCCGAAGTACAGTCGAGTAGATTTTCCGCTTAATATAGTGTGCTTGCACTGAAGTTGAAATGCGGTAAAATTTGCGCGTGAACAAATAGCTGCGCCTGTGACGCCGGCCACTTGCGCGCGCAAAAGGCTGGCATTACTGGCGTGGCTACTTGTTCACGCGCAAATCTTATCGTTTATTCGTTGACCGTAACGACTGCTGACCGCGCGGCGACCGCTGCGCGTACATGATGTTTTCGTAGAAAAGATGAATAGAAAGAAAACAGAGGATTCTTCTCATCTTTATAATGTAGAAAAGAAACAAAGAATTCTTCTCATCTTAAGCCACGGTCCAACTTGTCACTTTTTCGCAAGTTTAGAAGGCACGCGTCGCAGTCGCCACGCGGTCGGCAGTCCGTACGGTCAACGAATGAACGATACCACATTCCACTTTGAGCGCAAGCACACTATATTAAGCGGAAAATCTATTCGACTGTACTTCTGCGCAAAGCTACGCCCCGAATGTAGAAAAAGCAACATTAACTACAAATTTTGCCATGCAATTTTTCTTATGCGAAAGTGATGGAATCTTTGCGATTTAGCTAATTACTTGGAGCAACAGTCGCAGTTTTCTTTTTCACAATCAAGAAAGGGGGCGGGTGGCGCAAGGCTATTAAAGCTCAGGTAGTCTGACCCTGAGAGGTTGCGCCTGACCCCATTAACTTCATTTCCGAAGAAACTTTTCTATCCAGGTTTTATGTAGTTCGCTAGCACAGTCTTTGAGGATTCCACAGTAAGTGTTTGATCTTGATTCGACTTGTTTCGGTCTTGTGGTAATCAATGGAGATGAAGCACTGAAAGTGGGAAACGCGCCGATTGGAATTTTGGCAGCGAGTATAAACCCTCAATGTTCAGCTGAATCATCCAAAGTCTAAATAATACCATATGTAAGCAAAAAACCATTCGACTAGAGATGAAAACCAAGAAAACGCGATCTCCTGAAGTGGCGTGCGTGTCGCGAGCGGTCGCGCCATCGTCAAGATTTTTCAAATCTTATATATTAAGCTGAATGTCTGTTTGTCTGTATGTCTGTATGCATAGGCTGCTGCATGACGAAGGCGCAATATCTTTAGGCGCAAGCGCGACTTTCTTAGCCGCAGAGCGCACGAGACGCTGGTTACAACGATGAGGATACGCGCGCGTCGCTTTTGCACCCGCTCATCTAATACCGCTTCTGCGCCTTCGTCATGCAATAGCCTTTATGTGTCTACGTATATTCCGAATAGAAAATCTTATTTCTGAACCGATCCAACCAAACTTGGCACACATACAATTCGGGGCGGGTCGGGCGTCGTAGGCTACTTTTCGTTATCGATCGATATCGATCTTATCGAGTTTTATCGATTTTTTGCAAACTTCGACCTACGGGGCTGGGAGTTGGCATAGGGGGGGGGGGGAGTAATCGAGCATCACGAGCTGATTACGAATACAATGTTAATTTTCATAATCGTCCATTACTTTTATCGATTTTATCGCTTTTTTGCAAAGTTTGAGCTACAGGGTTGGAAGCAGGGTCAAGCGTGCTGATGCGATCCGGGACCCTCATTTACGACCGCCCCCCCCCCCTAGCTCCTCTCCCCCCTCCTCCACTTCCTTTTGCGGTAACCTGCATAAACGAATGTCAATCTCAAAAGATGCCTGCCAATAGACCTCAATCAAAATTATAGGTTAGAGAAAGATAATCACTTACAAATTGGGAGATAATGCAAGTAATGCTACCACTCAAAAAACAAATAATTCTACGGATTGGGTAAGTAGTAAAATTTTACAAATTGGCTATGCTTATTGTGGGGAAATATGAATGGAAAGGACATTATCTAACAAAGCAGAACATCGATTTTGATTTGAGTGGTATTTAAGCTGTACTCTACCTATGAAAAATGAAATAAAATAACAACTAAGAAAAGTTCACCATAACGGAACGGTTCATTTTAGTCATTATAATTGACTATTTTATAATAACTCCTTTTCTAGTAAAGGTTAATTAACCTTTGTGCTGTTTATGAATGTTCGGCATAATCCTCTCATGATCCAGTGGTACCGAGAGATAAAGACTATGGTCTGGAAATTAAAACGTTTTAGACTTCAATGACAGTCCCGTGTCCTATCCCCGTACGCGACAACATTTTTTTGCAGGGAGAAAAGACGATATCTTTGAAGCGTAGAAACTGTTTTCGACTAAAGAGTATACTTTCTATCTATTACACAGATTATCCTGCGAAAAAAGCCGTTTTAGCGCCTTCCAGAACGATGCTAAAAACGTGCATGAGCACGATACTTTGAAAATTCGTAACTAAGGTCAGGGAAAGACTGAGAGGCTGTAATGAATAGGCTGTGTGGTATTCAGCCCATACTATCCATGGAAATTTATCCATTAAGGAGCAGTGAGCTCGAAAAAATCTAGATGCGACTCTCGTCAATTTAGATGCGATCCTAAAAAGCAAAAACTGGGATTTTTGTTATGAAACACTTAAAATTTTTATGATAGAGAGTAGGAGGATGACCTCGTATTACAGCAAAACTGCAGCAAGCAGGCCTCCATAGCGGCGAAAAAATTTAGATGCGACCCAGATACGATCCCCTTTTTTTCATTTTTGTTGCCATATATAAAATTTTAAAAAAATCCACAAGCTATGAAGTATAACCAGATTTTGCACAACTGTAGCAGAGCAATTCTAAAGCACAGGTAGATTGTATTTGCCCTTGAAAGACATGACAAAAAAAGTTTTAAAAATTATCGAAGGTCATTGCTGGTAGAGATGAGCGCTTTTGTCAAGAGTGTGAGGCTTCAGTGAGGCTTCGGAACCAGGATTTCTAGGCCAGTTGGTACATTTAACAATCTTGTCACTCATACATGCCTATTGTTTAACGCTTCCGAAAGTGTCTTTGGAATCTTCGGTCATACTTGTGGCCAGCAAGTTCGATCCCTGTCTGCGGCACCTTTTTTGCAGGGAGAAAAATGCTGCTTTGAAGAGTAGAGAATGTTTGCGACTAAGAAGCTTATTTCCTACATTCCACACTTTTTTAGATTGGACCACCCTCTCTTACGACCTCCCCCCCCCCCACCGCCGGTGCCCCCTTTACGACCCCCCGTTGCAACAGTCGCATCACACGTTTGACCCTGGTTGGGAGTTGGCACAAGGGGGTAAGTGAGCATGACGATTCCGAATACAATATTAGTTTTTGAAATCGTCCATGACTTTTATCGGTTTTATCGATTATTTGCAAAGTTTGACCTGCGCGGCTGGGATTTGGCACAGGGGGTAATTGAGCATGCTGATTACGAATACAATATTAGTTTTTGGTATTACCATGACTTTTATCGGTTTTATCGATTATTTGCAAAGTATGACCTGCGCGGCTGGGATTTGGCACAGGGGGTAATTGAGCATGCTGATTACGAATACAATATTAGTTTTTGGTATTACCATTACTTTTATCGATTTTATCGATTTTTTCAAAACTTGAGCCGAAGAGCTGGGAGTTGGCACAGGGGGTGGGGAAGTGGGCATGCTGATTTCGAAAACAACACAGGGAACGGGAAATGAAGTGTAAAAGTGGGCACAGGGAAAGGCTGTACAGGAATAGGGATGGACCTTTATTACAGTGTTTTGACAGGGCCGGGCGGAGCCTAGTAAGCCAGCTAGTGCCCTATAATTCAACACTCTGATTACAGAAATGATACCCTTTTTACCAGCAGGCTTCCTTGGTACCTTATGATATGTCAAGTTAAAAGATAAAGATTTGGATTTCCGCTGAAACTTTTGTTGTGGCATCAATTAGTATGTTGCTTACGACCGTCATTCCTTCGATACTGGTGAGGCTGCGATATTTACCGGACTGACGCTTTCATTCCGCACCTTAATCGTAGTATCTCCCCAACTAAACGAATTCGAATCTTGATTACGACCCCCTCCCTCAGTCTTACCCCCAATACGAACATCCCACGTCGGGCATGCCTGTCCCCACGCTCGACCCTGTTCATATCTCATTCTACAAAAAGCTCTGTGAAAAAAAGAAGACAACTTTGAGATCAGCGTCTCAAAAGCGAAGCAGCGTATTTATCGTTTGCTCGCTTTTGCTAGAGTAGGCGAGGCCTTTGCGGACTGCCGCCGGCGTCGCGGTCTTAGGCTCCCGCCAGAGTGCCGAAGTTATGCCAGCGCTACGCCAGCATTTCGATCGATACACGTGTATTTCGTTGGGGCGGGGCTAGCTCAGCAGGTAGATGTCCCCAACGAAATACACGTGTATCGATCGAAATGCTGGCGTAGCGCTGGCATAACTTCGGCACTCTGGCGGGAGCCTTAGGGTTGTTTCCAGGGCCTGGCACCAGCTGGCACGGGGCAAGCTGGATATCGTTTTTTGGGACAAAAAGCAAAGGGAATATCGCTTTTGTCGACAAATTGCAACGTTTTTTCTCGACACGTTTTGTTTTTTGGGGGTTTTTTCACGTTTAGGTTCAGGGTCAAGGGGAAGTTCGTAAAACTTTGCAAAAATCAAGGAGGACTATGTTTTAAAAATTCCCTGGTGCCAGCTCGTGCCGAGCCCTGGTTGTTTCATACTGCGGTCGCTGCAGCAACGACATTCGGTCGATCGATATCTTTTGCCCGCCTCTATATGACTGCAGCCGCTGCACTGCAGTATGAAACAACTCTTAGCGCCGGCGGCGGTTATCGATTTTGCCCCAGCGCTAAGGCCGCGACGCCGGCGGCAGTCCGCAAAGGCTCCGCCTACTCTAGCGAAAGCGAGCAAACGATACCACTTTCCACATGACTAATTCGAGCTAGTATAGACTAGTCATATCATGTGATCATGTGTGCCATTGCACATGGTGTCCGTCTTTGTCGTCCTTAGCCTGAATTTTCGGTCATGGATACGCAACAAGTGACTGTTTTTCGATTCTTATTGTCTTGTCCAGTTTGAAACCTTTTAAAAGAACAGAGCAACTGCACGAATTAAATCCTCCATCTTCGGTCCATGGCCAGAAATTTAGGGTGGGCACGGAGAAGACTGGGACTGTGTGCAATGATACATGTGGTCATGAAATAATCAACTGTATTTCATTGTCGGATGTTTCAAAACCCCTTTTCATGGAAAAGCAGAACGAGAACAGCTGCAGCGAATTTCATCGCCGTCCCTCTAGTGGAACGAGAATATGCGATCGCAGTCACATTGCGGTCGAGCACTGCTTTTCTTGAGTGCGTTCTCGGAACCGGTCCTCTCTTCAATCATCAAGGTTGCGTGTTTCTTGTTTAATACATCACAGTTACATCGCTACAAAAAGGTGCTGTCCGAAAAAGGCGGCACAGATAAGAACAATGTCGATGCTGGAAACGCAAAAGCAAAGGTTGAGAATAGAATCGACAACCTGTTATTATTCCTCTTACTATTAGCGATTGTCCTGGCTGTAGATGATTGCCTTCAAGTCGCGATAGATATGGCACTCCCTAAAAAATGACCATTTACTGCGGAAAGAAAGATCCTCAGAACTTGCCAGTGTCTTATTTCGCCCAGTTATAGAGTCCTTCCTCGTCTGCCGCTGTTTCCGCGGGTTAAACAGTTTGCGAAGAAGTGAAGCCATGACAGAATGGGCGCGTTACTGCGACGCTTTTTAAGGGAAAAGTTAATTCTGGCTTGTATCCACTTCTATCTAGAAACAAGCACAACAATATCTTTGAGTAGGCAATCTAATATAGTTTACAAAGCAAATTCTGCGATGTTATTCATAATGGGCACGCACGCGGAGTCTGAGCGCCGATGCTCTTGCGCTTAATAGAGAAAGTACGTATTTGAAAGGGACAGTAGACGGTCGGAGAGTACGTTTGACTTGAGGAAGGCCGGTACAGTTCGCAGACGCCCCTGTCCTTGAGTGCGATGAATCTCCTATAACTCTTAGAGAAAATTTCGATTGTGGATAGAAGAGAAAGATATGATTGATACAAGACTGTGAATTGAAGCTGCATACGATTCACTTTTCTCTGTAGAAGAAGCCGATTTTCAGTACTAAAAGGCTACGATTTGCTGGGGGATTGAATGACCAATTTTTATAAACTGTTGCACTCAAAAAATAGTTAGCTAGTGATTTGCAGAGCTTTTAACCGAATTTGACAAGTTGCACCTACTCGAAAATCCACATGAATGCGATTGGGAAATATCTATGACAAACATTCTCAGAGGTAAGATAATGTTTGATGACGAGAAATTACAGCGTAAATATTGTGCAAATTGAGACAGTTGCCTAAGCTTATAATCGAATTTTTCGAAGCCCAAGTTGACGCTAGTACATTTTATAACACTAGCAATATTTTTCCGAAATGTGATAGACATGTTTCCGTGCTTTGATAGAGCGTTCTAGATAAATATGTTGTGTGGGGGCATTATCGTAGAAAAAATCTAAGTTTTTTTCCTTTTCAACGAAAACCGCAATGGAATTAGGATATTATGAGTCTAATCTTACAATGCACTATAGTTGAAACGACCGGAAAATTCGTCGAACGAACGAATATCGAATAATCGACTTTTGAAAAAAATTCGAACGAACGAATATCATTTGATCTGAGATTTTCAAATTATTCGAATTCGAATAATCGAATAATGCTAAATTTCAAGATTCGAATGAATGATTATTCGAATTAATGGTTTTGGTCGAATATTCGACTATTCAAATAATCGAATGATTATACACATGATTACATAATTACATACATGATTATGACATGTGATCGAATGGCCGACTACTATTCGAATATTCAAATAATCATACCTGTCCGAATATACAACTATTCGAATTATTCGAATGGTTTAGTGGCTCAAACACCGCTGGTTTTTTCTTTGTTGCAGTTTTCTGCAAAAATTAATCGCTAAAATTGATCTAGATTAGTAGCTTATAATTATATGCGTAGCAAATGGTAAGGATGACTGGGTTATTGTCCATTTACCTTGGAAAGAGAAGAATTCTACTTGAACATGTAGTTCAAGGTGTTTATTGTTCTTTGAGACGGGTACTAAGCCTTAATAACCTTAGCAACGTTTTAACCAGTTCTTCTTCTCACAAAAGTTTCTCCCAAAGCTAAAAACTTCCTCAGCTACGGATTCAACATGGAAAACTTTTGGAATAAATAGCTGTTTGTAAGTTAGTCGTGATGGTTAGCATTACGTGAATCCTGAGACTAGCACTGGGGAAGCACGAGGAAGGTCTACAGTAGTAAAAATCAGACCTCTGCAGCAGAGGTGACACACTGTTGCCTACATCTCAGACAATCACAGGCTCTCAGCCGGCAGCCACAAAGCTACCGCGAAAACCCACCAAAAGCGCTGTGGCCTCATCGCCTCACTGTCGCTTCCCGCTGAGAACCGTGTTAGAACTGGCAGCGAGCGGGCTGCTATAAAGCCTTCAGCGCGAAGCGAAAGCGGCGGTCTTGCTTCGCGCTGAAGGCTTTATAGCAGCCGGCTCGCTGCCAGTTCTGACACGGTTCTCAGCGGGAAGCGACAGTGAGGCGATGAGGCCACCGCGCTTTTGGTGGGTTTTCGCGGTGGCTTTGTGGCTGCCGGCTGAGAGCCTGTGATTGTCTGAGATAATATTATCATTTATTTGTATGATTGACCGTTCGGGGGCAAACTTGCATCCAGTGTAGAACAGCTAAAGTTTTCTTTGGACTTCGAATGTTCAAATGAATGTATATTATTATTATTCTTTATCTTTAATATTCGAATATTCGAACAAGCACTTCTTCCACGCCCTCGAATATTCGAATATCCAAATGACTGTTTCCACAATGTTTCAAATATCGAATATTCGAATAAGTTACTTTTCCGAACCGTCGAATGAACGAATATTCAAGGGAAGACCTTTTTCATATATTCGACTATTCGTACATATCGAATAAATGGGCTTTCTCGAATATTCGACTATGCGACTATTCGAATAGTCGAATATTTTGAATAAAATATTCGAATACGAATAGTTCCAACTATACAATGCATTTCCCATAGATCCCATGAATTTTGGGATACTTTCCCAAATGTTTGCCGACCTGAACCTCGAAACTTCCAGAAGAGTGTGGGTTAAATTGAGTTTTCAAAAATCTTCAAAACCATTTCAATTATTCACAAGTATAAACAAGTTGCTTGGACAATTACAACTAATTTAGGCTCACGTGCCATTTCGCACAGCTGCGTAATCGTAATTTTTCGAATACAGAATCAATCAATTACACACAAAAGTAGAAACAACGACGATAGAGTGGATATTTTAAACTGTTAAATGCAAAGCTACATCAAATCTATGGTTGATGTAGCCAATATACTAAACAATACTTTGCATCATGCGGTTTGAAGTTCTGCCTTGCGGAGAAATGAAGAAACACGATAGACGAGCTACTCAGCACTGTATCATTTTGATTTGGGCAATTCAGGAGTAAAATGAACATAAAAATATAAAGCCGCCAATAGCATTCGCTCAGGCGGTTCGCAGAAATATTTTTTGTTTATGTGCAATATTGTAGAAATATTCATGAAACATTCTCAATGTTTGATACCTTTTGAAAAAGTAATCTGATAGGAATTACAGAGTGCACTCCGTGTGAGTTGAATTTCTTTTTCAATAAAGAAAAGGCGCGCAGTAATGAGATAGCTCAAACTTTTTCGTGTATCCAGTTGAAAATTACTCTTCCGTGCAACCACCACAGCATGAAAATGAGGCTGGGAGACTCAAAGAATTCAGTTTTCAGAAATCCAGACTATCTTGGGACAAATCTTTCCTTAACTGCTAATGTAATGGAAAAGTCTTAGAAAGGTCAATAGACATTTGATGGTAAAAAGATTTGCGTACACTCAAGGAGGTGCAGCAAGAACAAACAAGCCAAATTTTTTACACAATTCCGTACGTTAGATCGAAATTGTTTCATAGCCAACCTGATGTTCGGATGTGAACGGCGTCTGTTGTTTGTCGTTTGGATAGTTGCTTTTGGAGACAATTCATTTATCCATGTCATTCTTCTCCCCTGCGAATTTCGTAGCGGCATGATACGCGAGGAAGAATGTATTTAAAGTTTCACTTAGCCTCTGGTGAGAACAAAACAGTAGCAGATAGAGTATTGAAAGACCATAAAGGCTCCGTGGAAATTCTATTGTAAATCAAAAGTAACGGATCTTCAGACAAGTTGAATGGTAGCCGTCGAGCTTTATTCGTTTTTCCTGAGGCTATGGCATTCAACTAGACTTTCTCATACTCTGAAGTAAACAAAGAAGTTCTGACCTATCACTCATTCTGAGTCTGAGTAACAAGATATGAGTGCGTTCCAGCGCGTTTTGGTAAATTACTGTTAGAAATTCCTGAAAAAGCATGTTCGAAATTGCATTGTCTAACAAGCTTAAACATGTCCTTTCATATTTCCAGTTTCCTTTTCATCAGACGCACGCAAAGCGCTCGTGTCTCCTAGTCAGAGGAAGAATAATATGTTTCTACCTTTGAATACTTTTGTAGCGCATAGTTGTGAAAAAAATCTTCGAATTATGATATTTTGAGCGGTAGACGTTTGATTACTTCATACAATCAAAGTTCATTTCCAAACGATTTTTGAATAATAAACGGCCATTGTAGCTTTTAAACTGCAAAATTTTTTTTACAGTTTCATGCCTTTCAGTTTCCGGAAACTTATTTGGAAAAGCCCCAAAAGCTAAGTTAAGAAACATAATTTGTTATCCCAATTCTTCAATTGATATAAAAATTTTGAGAGCAGTTAGAGGGAGAAACGATGCGATTGAAATGTTAATAATTTCTTGAGCAACTGTAAAAGAGAACAATAGGACAGAAATTCGTTAAGATCATTGCTGAAAAAAAGCTGCGTCCAACATCTTCAAGGGACTGTCCATCACAATTTTACACGAATTGCGGAAAAGTTGAAGGTGAGGGTAAAAAGTACCCAATACTTTTGACTCAACCTGGTGCAGGCATCGGAACGGGCATAAAGAATTAAGTGCCAGTTAGGAAGGTTGCAGAATCCTTCGGTCGTCGATAAACGAATCGATACATAAAGTACCGCACAAGAAGCAGAAAAACTACAATTCTCGACGGCGTGTTCGTTATGGCAACGACCGCCCCCTAGAGTGAGACGCGCAACTAGCGCTGAAACGCCAGTTCGTCATGGGCACCACAATGCTGAAACATAACTTGTGTCTCTCTTAAAAAGATGATTTGTGACTATAACATCAATATGATATGGCTATGAAATTCCTACAAAATATTTCATCGAAGCTTTTGGGATACTACAATTCTCCCCTGACACCAATATTATTCCTGCACTTCGCGGAGTTTTGCTTTCAGTCCGTCATCACTTGACGTGGGGTTGACGAAAATGCCAACGTCGCACGGGCAACTCAACAACCCTTTATACAGAAGATTATTGGCTGGGGGATCATCTATACCTTGAGATTGTGAAAGTCCCTCTAGATGGAAGCTCAAAGGCACCGTCCACCCTCCAGTAATGCCCGCTCATCCGTGCGCGTTCATCCAATCACCGCACCGGAGAACCGGCCTGCGGATTCCTTGGAACGGTAATTGTCGGGGTTTTCGCGAATAGACTTCATATCAGAATCAAGGACATGAGAAGGCTTCGGAACGACCGAAATATGGAAGTCGAAAATCTAGGTGG